AACCTTGAGCGTTTCGAGACGGAGGATTCGGAGAGTGTTGAGTTTGCCGAATCGCAGCGTTAACTGTTCGATGTATATCGGCGCCGGAGGAGCGATTTTCGTCGGAACGAAAATACGATAGAAGCGTGGATCGTAGATCGAGCAGTTCCTTCCACATATCCGGCGTTAGCGAGATCTCCTTGCCATGGCAATCTCCAAGGACGATCTCCACAAAAGAGGGTCGACTAACGTTAACGCTGACTTCGAGATGTTTGTATGCGGTTTTGGTTAATGGGTAGCGTCTTTCTAAGATTCTGAGCGGTCGCGATGATCGAGACATCCGCGTCGCGTCTAGGCGTCCGGTCGCGATCTCGTCTGAAAATGGATGCGAACGATAAGAGAAACGACACTAGCGAATTATTAGTTCGAATGAATGTTTAATAGTCTTACCCTTGTCTTGTTTAGCTCTTTTAGCGTATCCCGCGCTATCCTCGCGGTCTCGCTCGGTTAGCCTCGATCGATCGTCGAACGAGTGCTGCTGTTGCGATAGCCCCCCCATTGTCGCGTACATTATCGCTCGTTTTTTCTCTTTCGTAGGCTTCGGCGTTCTTCGTCGACAATGAAGCGCTTAACTGATGGATGGTCTTTATATACTCGCGTAGAGATCGCTTCTTTCCCTTTCGCGCGCGTCCTCTTTTATATTCTAATTTTCTTAAATGACGGTAGAGTCGCTCTAATCGTCCTCTTCGTCGATCCTCTCTCTCTCGGTCGCGTCGCCGAGACGATAGACGCGAATGAGGAAATCGCGCAATTGTCTTAGCAGCCCATCCGTAGGACACTCGATACCGAGCACGTGTAGATCGAAAGGACTCGCCGAAGTTACGATATTCGTGAATTCGTTGAAGGCGTAGAACTGACGTTTGGCGAAGAAATACAGATTGCCGTCGACATATCGAAAGGCCGACGTTATCGCGGGCGGTATTCCGGGAAATATATCTTTTAACGGAGCGTGTCTAATGACTATCATGCGACACTCGTCAATCTCCGCTATTTTATCGTCGTCGTAGATCGCGTAGGTTCGTCCCGTGTGCGTGTTTATCGCAGCGTTAATCTTAACGTTTCGGGGAAGTCCGATATCGTGGAGATATCTCGCCCAACCCGATTTTAGCTTAAGGCTGGGATATTCCGCGAGGTAGATCGAATCGTCCGCGAGATCGCCCGAGGGTCTTCGATACGCGGCGGATAGGCGCGTGAAATTTGCCGGGAGAAACGCCGCGTAATCCGTGAGCGTAATGGGCCTACCGTAGCGTCTCTCAGTCACGTCGATCGACCACACATTGCGGCGATTAGCTATGTACAATCGGTGATTCATTATCAGCGCGACGTCCACGCGCCGCAAAGCGCAGAGATCCGCGCGCGCGGGGTCGGTTGGCGCAACGCTCGTCGTAGCGGGCGCCGCGGTGGTCGCGGGAGTCGCCGTCGGATAGTTTCCGTCGTCATGAGACCCGTACAGATTCTGTATAGGCAGAATATCCTCTATGCTCAGCTTAACCGGAAATTGATTCTCGATGACGGGTATATACGGGAACATTATCGAGTCGTTGCGCATGCTGTGTTGTAGACCCAAAGCGTGGCCAATCTCGTGCGTCAGCGTTTGCAACAAATGATGCGTGTTGGGAGGATTTTTATTTAGATACACGTGCCACAGTTCCGAATCGTCAACGTGTACCTCCGACGCGAAATCGGTCGCTCCCGAGGGAAAGAACGCGTGAGCTAGGGTTCCCCCGGGACCGTCGAAAGTCGCCGGGCAAACGCCGATGTTTCGCGATTCGCGCCCGTTTGATACACTATCAGTATATCACCAAGTTGAAATTTTTCGGTTTCTAACAATTGAAAAAAGATTTCTCCGCCTACAAGCGCGTCAATATTGCTCGGATTGTAAAATAATGGATCTGCTAGTTTAAAATTTTTTGGAATAGGCAATTGAGAAACTTGAATTGAAAATGATGGCAATTCTTTCGTTATTCTCGGAACGACCAAACAGTATAAATTTGTTTCAAATTCGGAAGTTCGTGAATTTATTTGCAATTGACAACTATGTTTGATCATGCAATTTATATTACTTAAACTGTTAATCGATTTGTAAACGTTATCCAATTTCAGCCCAAGCCTTTTACATGCTGCCGAAGTTATAAAATTACTTTCGCTCGCACTATCCAATAAAACTCGCAATTGACAACTATAATTATTACCTCCCTTGGCGTTTACAATGGCGGTTAACATTAGAACGCGCTTACGCTTCGTAATTCCGCGTATATGATGTACTGATGGACCGCTCGATGCTTCGCCGTAAACAGCTGATGCTTCTCGTTCCGAGTTTGTTGATGATCCTGCGCCTTGTAATTTTTCAGTAGAACCGTTTGCTGAATTTATTCTCGGGTACTTGCTCGAACTCGCCGCTTCCTTAGTCCGATGACATAATGTGTTGTGATGCCCCTCGCATTTTCGACACAAGCTGGATTTGCAATTCGCAACAAAATGATCGTTGCGTAGGCAATTAATGCACAGCTTTAACCGTTTGACTGCTAGGATTCTATCTTCAACAGACAAATTCAAAAATTGATCGCAAGAATAAATCAAATGCTGCCCTTGGCAAAGATAACATCGTCGTCCTTGAGCGGCTGTTGACAGCGATGTTTTGCCCTGAAATTTGGATTGAAACGGCTGTTTCTGTTTACCATCGTTCCTCTCATAATTATTAAATTTCGATTTGCCTTCTCCGGAAATTTCGCTCAGAGACGCTCGCTCCAAAACCTGACATCGGCGCTGCAAAAACTCGATTATAGTATTAATTGTTAAGTTTTCCAATGTCTCAGCATGTTCCTCCCAACGTCTTCTTGTTAACCCATCTAAATTTTTTTCGATCAAATAAATAATCAATTCTCCCCATACTTCTGTAGGAAGTTTCATGGACTGTAAAACTCAAAGATGCTTTTGAACGTGATCTATGAGTTCTCGAATCGCTCCAGCAGACTCTCGCTGCACTCGCGGTATCTCAAATAAACATTGAACGTGTCGCTTACGAATAGATTTCTCGTCTTCATAACGATTTTTTAGTAATTCCCATGCAACTATATAATTTTGATCGGAAATCTCAATTGATTCCCGCTTAGTGATCCTACTAAATATTGGTGCTTCTGCACATTAGATAGATCGCTATCGTGAATTAATGTTCTAAAGGTGTCAGCGTACCTTTTCCACTCCTCGATGATTCCGTTGAATGTTGGTAGTTTGATGATCGGCAGTTTTACTTGAGGTTCACGTGGTGTGCCGGATTGTCCTCCCAATCATTGTAGCATCTGACCCTGCTGTTCCAGTATCCGTGATAGAACATTATTACTAGTATCGTTCGAACGTTCTGACAGCTGCCGCATAAGATGTACTTGCTGCTCCAAAACTTGCGCCAGCGTGCTATCACTTGCTTGAACTTCACTTCCACTAGTTGAAGCTTGAGGTGGTTTTAATCTCTCGAGACATTGTGATAATGCTGCCCTTATTGCGAAATAGCGATCTTCGATTTCCGTTTCCTCCGATAAATCTTTCGCGTATTCTTCTTCGGGAATTATCGTTGATATTTGTTGTGCATTCGTTTGAAATTTAGCGTATAATTCATCTAAATGCTGAATACGTGATTCGACTTCTTCCTTCGTGGTCGATTCCAAATTATCCGTTACTCGATTCACGAAATTCCTCGTCAGTGTGAATCTTGCCTTTATAGATCCTCTTTGTCTTCTTAATTGTTCAATACTCATTGTTGCTTGTTAACACAATCGATCGTCGTTGAGACCGTTAAATTTGAATTTTTCGATCATCTTCGCGACACTAGAAGTGCGATTAACGACAAGAAATGCCGACGTTACGACAACAACTTTGACCGACAAATCGGCCTCGAAAAACACGTGAAGCGAGGGGGGGATTTAAGGCGGGAGGAGGCACGAACCAAGCATCCATCTCTTCCGTGGCAGCGGCACTGTCGTATCTGTTGTAGGGCGTTTACACACTTCCTCAGCCCGACAAATAATTGTTAGAAAACAACATTTGCGGGTCTGAAAAAATATGCGAGGTACAAGTGGCTGAATCAGGAATCGAACCCGAGGCTTTGTTCTCTCAAATAGAAAATTCTGGAATGTCTGTCGACGCGCAGGAATATATTACAACTCTGCGATTTCTTGAATTTAATTCGATTGTCTCTCTTATCTTGTTGCACGATTTTTTATGTCTCGATCCGCCTTTACGCACGATTCCTTGTCTTGATCCGAATTGTTTCACAGATCTCAGATTCGCTTATGCGGATCCGGCTCGAAGGACCAAAAATGTTGCTGGTTTCTGAATATTGAGTTCTTCAAAATTGTTCTTAATCGATCTTTAACACTCGTTTATTAGCGGACTGTATGATGAGCTCGGCTATTACAATGTATCGTTGTCGCGCGACCTTTTGACAGTGCCTAAATTCGTTTCCTTCGCGGAGATATCTTGAATCCCCACTTAGGAGATATCCCTACTTATTGTCATATATGCGCAAATATCAAATTAACTGTCTTTATGCATCGAACGCACACGGCCTAGATATATCGCATTCCTTAATTCTATACAGGCAGCAGGGGCAAAAAACCGCCGCGTTTCGCTATCGGAAGCGTTCTTTTCCTCGTAGCGGTCGTTTTCCTCTTGCTCTTCTTTCTCTTGGTTCTCGTCGCGCCCATTCCGAGTTTCGTTTTTGATTTTATAGCTATCCATACGGCCATCGCGGCGGCTCTCTCGCCGAGAGTCGAATCTCTCGCCGCGACGCGCTCGCGCGCTCTCTCAGCGAGCGCGCGGTCGGCGACGTGTTGATCGGCGAGCTCGCAGCTCCGCGAGTACGCGACGTCGTGCTCGCGGCAGACCGCGTCCAGAGAATTGATGCCTCGATCGCCTCGCGCGAGTTTCGTGAGACGGGTACCCGGCCCGCAAAATTGATATCCGGGTATGTGTAGTTCGAAGGGGAGCGCGTTTATCGCTCTGTTCAATAAACCGGCGCCGCCGATATCACCGATTACACCGTACCGCCGCTTCGCGAATTGTATTCGCCGCAATCTTTAACAAGCGGCGCCGGGCCGTCGATGTGCGTTCGTTGTCAGGGACGATTGTAATGCTCCAGGCATCGACGGTAGCGCCGCACCTCCGGATCCACTTTTATTTGTTCGGGCAGTTTCTCCCACAATCGTTCCACATAGCGACCGAAGTGCTTTAGCAAGATTACTTTCGGGATAAATCGCAATTGAGCGGTGGTGAAATCGAGAATATCGTCACCGTCTACTAGTAGGATAAACATCTCGATTCACCGCGCGCAATTCGCTACTGCGCGATCGACGGCGATCTATTCGTATATAAATAAAAAGATCTCGCCCTGCCTCGCGCGAGTGTACCGCGCACGAGCGCGGCGAGAGGAATGCGCTTCGTGCGGTAGCCGATCGCGATAAGGATGACGAACTTCGACGGTAGGGCGCGACCGTCGGAGAAAGCGCGTAGACACGGTGGTCTATTACCGAGCGCTATTCGCTGCCTCATTTGCGGTCCCTCTAGTTGCGGTAAAATGAACGCGCTGATAAGTTTGTTGGAGAGCCCGCACGGTGTACGCTTCGAGAACGTTTACGTTTACTCGAAATCATTGCAGCAGCCTAAATATCAGTATTTAGACAATTTATTGACACCGATGAAAGATATAGGTTATTTCACATTTTCCGATAACTCTGACGTTATTTCGCCTAGCGAAGCGCTCCCGAATTTTATATTCGTATTCGACGACGTAGCGTGCGACAAACAGGATACTATTAGAGAGTACTTCGCTATGGGTCGACAATCGAACGTCGATTGCTTCTATCTGTGCCAAACATACGCTAAAATACCAAAGCACTTGATTCGAGATAACGCGAATCTGTTGATTCTTTTTAAACAAGATGGTACTAATTTGCGTCACGCATACAACGATCACGTGAACACGGATATGTCGTATGAGAATTTTCACGCGCTATGTCGCGCGTGTTGGCGATATAGATATGGTTTCCTAGTGATTGACAAAGATAGCGCGCTTCGCGCCGGCAGATACAGGCGAAGGTTTAATGATTTCGCCGTACCGTAGAGCGATCAGTCGTCGCGAATACGTCGAACGCGTCGATCGCTCTCCCTCCCGCGAGCGAGAAGAATTGATTCGTTAATCACGATGGCTGCGACGGATATCGGCAAACGAGAGAAGACGGCGAAAGAGATCGCTAAGACACAGAGCGTTAAAGACCGGCAAAATGGAGAACGAGATCGCGAAGGAGAGCCGTTTCAAGCCGATCGTCGAACCGCTGCGGCGCATCGCCGAACGCGCCGAGCGAGACGAGATCGAGCGAGATGAGATTAAACGCGAGACGATAAAGCGAGACGCGATCGACGCCTCGCCCGTAACGACAAGCGTCGAGGAAAAATGGAAGGAGGAAGAGTTGATTCCCGCTTGGAAAAAACCTAAAGTGAAACGAATACGAGCGCGACGACGATTGGACGCCGTTTTTACTCCGTTAAACGAGTATC